GCCCCTCAGAAAAAAAATTTTTTTGAAGAAGTGATGTAAGCTATCTGAAAATGTTTCAAGCCTTGAAAATAACTCAAATGTAAAAGGTCTTTAATGTATATAACCTAACTGCGGATAGGGGTGGAGGGGGTGAGGCACATTGCAAGCAGGGGGCAACACACATAAACAAGATTCGTGGAGACACAGACACATGGACACAGATGAAAGCATGTGGGGACACACACAGGTATGGACACGACTGACTCCCTGTCCACCAGACCCCGCGACTCTTAGCCCCATCAAGCAAGTTGGTGGGGGATCGGGGCAGGGAGGGGAAGGAGAGCATCTGTCTGCCTTTTTACCCTAGTCCTTTTGCCCACACAGACCTTGGCACACAGTAGGTCCTCAGGAAATGTCAAGTGAATGAATGAATAAGTGAACAGCACCAGCCCTGGAGTCATTTAGCATCAGGGTCCAAACAGTCTGAGTCGTCCTACACAGTACACTTTGCCCAGCCCAGGTCTCAGGATGCAGTAAGTCCTCAAGAAACAGCAGGTGAATTAATGAATGTGTGAATATCCCCAACCCCACCCCCGGAGACCCTCAGGGTCAGAGACCAAGAGTCCTCCCGTACCTCAAACTTCACCTTGCTCAGGCACAGCATACAGTAGGTCCTCAGGAAATGTCAGTGAATAAATGAATGAATAACTGAAACTCCCCTGACTGGCCCTGGACCCCTTCAGGATCAGGGATGACACAATTGGTACCTCTCTGTGCTCCAGGCCTTGGCACAGTGTAGGTCCTCAGGAAATGTCCACAAGGGACTGAGTTCAGTCATGCCAGAGAGCAGAAGAAACAAGCCCCTAGGAGCAGAGAGCTGATGGTCAGACTCCCGTGGAACCGATGGGGGCCATGGGCAGGGTAGGCTTCAGTCTACTGAGCTGTTCGTCAAGACTTCAAGGACAGCTGGCCTGGTGGGAGTGAACAGGCGCGGGTGGCTGTACCTGCAGGGAGTGGTTTCCACGATGAGTTCCGTCGCGCGTTGGAAACCTTGCTCAGCCACTGTTCTGGGCGCTAAGTAATTGGCCTAGCGTGAACGCCTGTCCCTGCGAAGATTCAAGGATAGAGAGAGGGGAGGAAGGAGTGGGATTTATGTGGAGAGTCTGCCCTGAATCCCGCCTGCTGTAGTCAGGAGGCCCAGAAGAAGTGGAGTTTCTCCTGTTGTACAAAGAGTGGAGGACTTGGGGAGTTAGAGTCTGCCCTGAGTCTCTACAGATGTAGAAGGAATGAACCTCTGGTAGAGGAGTTACGAAAAAATATGTTGGTTTCAGAGCGTTGGGAATTTACAGATTGCAGATAAAGAGGACTTGGAAAAGAAAAAAAAAGCACAAGGCATCCGCCGTTGGCATTCCATGTATCCCACAACGAAGGATGCTGAAGACGCCCCCTGGTGGCAACATGCA